GGAACTACTTGTCTCTCTCTCTCTCTCTCTCTCTCTCTCTTTCGATACTCGGTCACGAATTAAACGCCCGAAGAATCCGGGGGGGAGGAAAAAGTGAAGAAAATAAAACAGCGTACTTGGCTCGTGAAATATGTCGAGAATTGGAAAAAGGAAAAAATTACGAAACACCTTCTCCCGAATTCCAACGAGAACACGGCGAACGAAAATTAATCATTGTCATTATCGGAAGGAGTTTTTACTCGAAATTTAAATTGAATACTTTTCGAATTTTCTTTTTTCCTTCTTTCACGGGGATAAAAAAAAAAAATAGACGGAGAAATTCGGGCGAGTTGCATGCAACGACGTTCGAATGCGGGTGAAGGCGGGGGTCGGTGAAACGAAGGGGTTAGAAGCGAGGGAGGCGGGTGTGGGTCGTCTCTCGGGCGGCGAGACGAGCGAGTGTAAGACTAGAATGAGGGGCAAACGTGACGGCAGGGCCGTGAAGCGAATCAAACGATTTTACGCTCCAAATTCCAGCTCTTTGAATCAGCCAGCGTGGAGAAGCCTGTAAGAAATGGCAAAAAGTACAGTTATTTCGTTTCCCGTTAAAGTGGCTGTATTTCGTTTCCCCGAGTATCGAGTCACTCGTCCTTCGTTCAATTCCCAACTTTCGCGGAATTGAAGATTGTGGGTCAACGAGACGCGAAAAACGGGCGCGATGCGTATCTCTCATTTTTGTCCCTCTCGAATCGAACTACTTAATGCTTAAACATCCGTTTAATGAAATTTGATCACGAACGTTGAAATTTTCGTCCCGTATGCGAAATTTTACTCGACAAGATTCGAGAACGGTTACGATCTATGGCGTATACGATCTCGAATTCGTCATCGAATTTCGTGTTTCGTATTCGAAATATAAATTTCTGCATTTATTCGCTATAAATAAGAGTTTCATCGCGCAACGGTTATCGTTTCGCAACACACGTCTAGTTAACTGCTTGTTTCGAGTATATTTTGCCAAGGATGAGGGGGGGGGGGAGAGGTGGCACGGGGAGAGGTTGTGAAACCGACCGTTTCTCCTCCATTAATGTGCAAAATCGTATTTGCAATAGTAAAATACAGTTAAGCAAACACAGCTGCGCCGCATTGCGTTCTCCGAGCGTAGTTAATGGCGCTAGTGGCGGCTTACTCTCGGTCTCTTTACACCTCACTAATTAGTAAATATGTTGCGCGTATTTACAGTGTGTACAGCTTTATAAAGCTACGTGTCTATGCCACCGCCACCGTCCACGATGATACGGATATCGAGAATCGTTCGTTGCTTCCCTCGCCGTTTCTCCCCATTTGTCCTTAACTTCCATTTGCTTGTCCATTCGCGATTCGACGACCCGTTCGACTTTTTTTCCATTTCTCCTTTGTCCGACTTGGCCATAATACGAGCGTAATTGAAGTAAGAATAGAATCAAAGAATTTCGGTCGTCGTCTCGAGGGACGGTAACGACCTTCCTACATTGAAGGGATAGAAAATTGCGACACGCAACACTGCGACTCGGCAAGGGGTCGTTAACCGGTGGTGTCTCTTCTTTCGCGGATCATTTCGCGGTTACCGTGGATGGCCGATACCGTTCTATACGCGCCGTCCATTCAGTTGGCGCGCGAATAGCGGTGGTGAAAAATCGAGAGGCGAGAAAGGAAGAAAGAAAGAAAGAAAAAAAAAATGTTCGATATTGAAACGACGGGGTGGGTGGTGGAGAAAGGATGCGTTGGAGTGTAATGCCAACGACTAAACTCGTAAATAGAATACAACGTCGCCTGGCCTGGCTATTGTATTTATATTCTCTTCTCGCGACGATTCCTTTTTCGCTCCCCGACAAAATTTATTTTCCTTGCACGCTTTCAAACGAAACATCGCGATCAAAGCGGGGGGGGGGGGGGTCCTATTCGCGTTCGCGGCTGTCGATCGGGCTACGTTCGCGAAAGAAGAAAGAAGAAGAAGAAGAAAAAAAAAAGGAAAGAAACACGGATCGAGGAGAATACGTTTCGTTTGTCGCCGATACGCGCGACACCGATACGAAGATCGGTTTCAATGATTTCTTCCCCGCTAGAGCTTTCTTTCAGACTCGCGACGTTGCGGAGAAATCTGTCGGGAAAGAGAGAGAGAGAGAGAGAGAGAAGGAGGGAAGGGGTGGATGGTTGTTGTATACAATAGAACGTTGGAGAGGGTAGAGAGGAATGGGCGCGACAAAATACGGAACAAAAAATACGGAAGAAAGATAAACAAAAAAGCGGGGGAAAGAATAAGAGAGTATTGACGTGTGTATAGAAAAAGAAAAGAAAAAAGAAGAACGATCGCAGGGTGGCAGGTACGCATGTCGCGTGTTTTGTGATTACGTACGTCGTCGTCGCATGACGTCGCGCACCGTCTGGGAGGACTTTCATTGAGCGGACAAACCCCTAGGCACGAGATTCGAGAGGAAAAAAAAAAATTGTCGATACGGGGTGGTAGGTGGTAGGTAGATAGGTAGGTAGGTAGGTAGGTAGGTAGGTAGGTAGATAGATAGATGGGTGGGCACGAAGCGAAGGGGGAAGCGACGGGTGTAGTAGTAGGGGGTGAGAGCGGGCAGTCTGCCAGAAAGGACGGGGGCTAAAGGTGGGATGAGGTCCGATCGTGGGGTATGCAATGAATCAGAGAGAGGGAGAGACAAAGCAGAAGAGGAAAGGGGCGAGGGGGGGGGTCGAAGAGAGGAAGACGGGGAGGGGGAGGCTAGCAGCGGAGAGTTGGCTGGGATACGCGGATTGGGATGGATGGGTTGATTGATTGGGCACGCTTGTATTGTTTCAGGAGGAAGCTGAATCGACGTAACGGTCTACGCCAGGATGGCCAGTTGGCCGCTGAGAATCGTACTTCTGTCCAGCACCCTCATCCTTGTCCGCGGTAAGTAAGAACACAAATCCTGGCGGGGTTGTGCCGGCCGTTTGGTTGGAAAATCATGGCCGCTCGACCGTTTCGTTTCGTCGTGTTTCGACCGTTTCGGCCATTTCATCGGCTGGGGCACGACGGCTGGGCAATACCCAGTCGGGGGATATGCCTGGTTTCACGGTGGGAAAGGGCGGGAAAGGGAAGTGCGTTTAGCCGAGTAAATATTTGCGTCGCTGAGCAACGCGAAGCGAGAAAATGAGGGACCGCCGCCACCCACCGACGAAAAGTATTTGACCAATAAAGTGACTTCCTCCTGGGAGAAATCATTTCCCCGAGTTTGCTCTTTTTTTTAGAGGGACGAATTTGATTTCCTCCTCGGAGTATAAATGCCATAAAATCCCTTCTCGTTTTTCCTCCGGTAATACGTATATATGTACGTACATACGTGTAATATAAACGCGGCGAAGGCGTTATGGAAGTAAATGTTTCGCCCTCGTTTCGTTACTCTCTATTTTATTTTTCTTCTTTCTTTTTCCTTTTCTTTCTCTCTCTCTTCTTTTTTTTTTTTCTCTTGAGAAAAACGGTAAAAAGTGTATATGCGATATTGAAAACTTTTAATATCGCATAGTTACTCTCGTCCCGGCGAGTCGGTTTACAGGGACGAGTATTTGCCTCGTTTTCGAACTCCCTCCTCTCTCTCTCTCTCTCTCTCTCTCTCTC